GTATTTGAGATGATAAGATTAAGCAAAATTGTGCAAAAGATACGCTCAGGCATGACTTGAATTTTTATGCATTTTGACATTTCACTAAGTTATTTTACATTGTTGCTAATATATACTGTACATTTATACTATATATTCTTATATATTGTTATGGAGAAAGGGAGCAATATCACTGCACTTATATGTTGTAAAACTGCATGATGGATGTCTTCTTGGTGTTAAAAGTATTGCCATGTATCTACAGCCTGCCAGCAGCAGTATTTCTTACAGATTGGTTATAAATTCTCTTTTGTTTTGAAAAATATGAAACTTGAAAGTCCCAGGCATCTCCTGAGCCAGCAGAATTTTTTTTTTTAAATATGGCAGGTCGTGCAGAAGTTATATCACAGTACAGCTTCCAAAGTTTCAAGGATCAATTTCTTTATAGAGAGATTCTGCCTTCAGATCGGATCTTGAAAAGTCTTATCAAGGGGTATTCTATGAAATCATTTTAAGGCAGAATTAGGCTCATTAAACCAGACTCATCCCTTGTACGCAGGTGTAAAAAAACCCATAAAGTCAGTGGACACATAGATTCACATCACTGCTCCTTAATCTTCCTACACAGTAGTATATAGGTGGGCAAGGGCATGTCTGTATCTAGTATCTCTATATATGTATGCACTCCGATGTGTGGCTGTATGTGATCTCTATATTTATACATACATTAATGTATTAATGTGTTATATGCAAACCATTTTTCTTAATAGTTTAAAAAAGGGCGATGCTGCTGCTTAGTTTGTAGTCATAGTAAATCAGCACAGTATATTTTAAATATATTTTTTTGCAGCTAAATGTGCGAATGTGCTTCTTACTACATGTTCCTTGGTGAAATTTTTCTGCAAAGGATAACTAAATTACAGCCAAAGTTCATAATAAGCCTTGACTAAACACAATAGTATTGATTTCAATGGGGTAGGTTCAGGTCTACCACATAATATTTGGGCAAATGTTAGAAAGAGCAGAAGACAGAAATATGGGTAAAAAAAATCTGTGTCAGAAACTGAAAGCCATCTAGAGTAGCAGGATTAATATGCACAGATACCCCTTTCCTTTGCTCACCATAAGATGCCTGCTAGGAAAGGCTGTTATATCTGAGTCTCCTAACATATAATCAAAGAAATTTGTGTACAAATACGTGTTAACATTTGTTTTGCAAAGGATATCAATCATATTTCCAAAAATGAAGGGACAGATTTCAATTTACCCAGTGTATTATATTCTGACTACTTCAGAAAGGTTTCCAGCACTTAAAGTGAATGGCATTTAATATAGAACAACATAACAGGGTGAAGGCTAGATGTGACCTTATTCAAATGTCGTAGCCATTACAAAGCCATTCCCAGTGTAATTATAATTAAATACTTTATGCCTTTCTTGCAAATCCTCTGATCGATCACTGATAGTAACATTAATATTGTATTACCCCCGAGCAAATGTCTCCCACACAAGTGTTATGGATCACCAGGTTTCCATTAACAAAGTTGTGAGCTGTTGCCATATGCTAGTCGTGGATAAATTTACGTAAATTACCTTTTCATGGGGGAAAAAATCTGAGGGTTTTTTTCCAAAGCATGTAGTCTGGTGCTTTTTCTTCATCCCTTTTATAGGCTGTCAGTTAGTTATGTACACACAAAGCAAAACTCTACTCTCCGAAAGAGAGCTCCCACTGAAACCAATGGATATAGGCTAGGTATAATCAGAGTAAGTAAGAACCAAATCAGGTACACAGGGGCAAAGTCTGCACTAAAGACATTCTTAAGCACCGTATATAAAACAGGTCAGGATCCCGTCCATAACAGCAAGCTCTGTTCATTATTGTGATGTTCATGCTCACATAGAGTACAGTACTGCGATATAGGCTGAGTTCAGCGAGATGAGTAGGGGTATAGCCATTTGGATCTAAAAAGTATTCCTTGCTTATAGATATTTTCCTGTCTGTTCAGAATCCATGCTTGCCATCGTATTTCCTATGCTAGATATTGCCAGTTAGACAAAGCCCCTAAGCAGCATTTCCCTGCACCACCAGGTGAGAGGAGAGAGGGCTCGGTTTCTTCCCCTGCAAGTCAATAGCATTCCACAGGCCAGTGAAGAACCACTGGGACTGTGGGAAGAGAATGCATTTTTTGTCCTTCAAAAAAAATGAATACATTTTGCAAAGAAAAAGACGATGAAAGGTTCCTTCGTGGGGAGCTGATGGAACCAGCAGACCCAATGTTCAATCTCCTTTAGGGAGCCCTATATTTGGGGAAAAAAGAAGTTTCTCATGGAAAACGACAATGTTGATGGAGCTGTGCCAATTGACATCAACAGAGATTTGGCCTAGAAAGATTTAGTTTCCTAGGCTATGTCTTTACAAAGACGTCTTTTTTCACAGAAAAATAATGAGCGCACAACTCCTCCATGGAAACAAGGCACTTGTTGCTTTTACCACCTGAGAACAAGGTGACTTTGACACTATGCCCCCCCCACCCCACACAACAACTGCCTATTAGAGATGTGTGATGCTTCAGTAGCTGATTCGATTCGGAGGAGATTTAGCCCAATTTGGGGACTGAATCTGAATCCAAATCGGGAGACCAATTAAAAGCTCCAAATTGATTCAAAGCATCTGAATTGATTCAGAAAAGATTCAGCCATTTCAGAGACTTGGCCATAGACTAAACAGGCAGCTGACACAGTTGCCTCCAGCTGGTAAGTCTGTTGGAGTTGGGGGAGGGAAGAGGGAAGGAGTGTTGGGGAGGAAGGGATTGGAGCTGGGGCTGGGGCTGGGCTGGGACAAGCTACCCAGCTGAGGCGGGGGGCACATTACTTGGGGAGGAGGGGGGCACAGGATGCAGGTGTCGCAGCACTGGGAGCAAGGGACTCTGCTGTGCGGCCGCTTGCCCAGCCAGGGTGGGATGCAGACACGGGTCACTCCAGGCAAAAGGGGGCAAGCGGCAGCAGGGCATAGCCTCCACTCGCAGCACTGCCACGCCTGCCCTTCCCATGCCTTCTGTGCTGGTTGGCATACAGCTACAGCACAGAGCTCCTGCTCCTAGCGCTGATGTAGGCACAGCAATGCTGGGAGCGGGGGCTGTGCCCTGCTGCCAACCAGAGCAAGCCGTGCCTGCATCGCACACACCCCCCTGCCCGTGCCAGCTGGGCAAACAGCACCAGGACATAGCCTCCATGGCTCCCCCCACTGGGGCAGAGGCAGGCACAGCTGGAGGAGGCATGGGAGAAGCCCCCATGGCTGCCCTGCCTGGCCCCATCCACTACTCGGCCCAGCCTCCCGATACTTTTTTTAAAAAAATAGCCCTGCACTCACCAGCTCTGGCAGCAGTAATCAGGGCCTCTAAGGGCTTGTGGCAGAGCCCCCCCCATGCAGCATGGGGCAGTGTGGGGCAGCAGGGATCGCCCCCATGTGTGGTACCCACGCGGCAGCTTTCCCATGGCATGGGTGCCGTGCAGCTCGGCAGGGTGCCACGTGCTGTCTGGGAGCTGGGGTGGCTCCACATATCAGCTGGAGCTCAGCACCACTCATCCCCAGTGGTCCCAGCGCATAGTGCCCTGCCAAGCCACACTGCACCTGCACCATGGGGCACCTGCCATGTGGGTGCCAGGCAGGAGGGTGATCCCTGCTGCCCCCCTCCACTGCCCTACACTGCTGGGGGAGCTCTGCTATGAGTGC